AGTACTTGTCTTTCTACATAATTAATTTGTTTCTTAGATTTACTTTTCTATCCCTTGAGTGGCCCTTAAATATGGCCTGTTCTGATAGTCGACTATCAAAATAACCAAAATCTTCATTGTATTAACGCGACTAAACATCCTATATATAATTCAGTTTTGACGTTTTGAGCATTGTTAATTAAAATGCAGCCGATTTTTTTTTTTTAATGTATGTCATTGAGATATATCATTATTTTTTTTTTTAAGGGGGAGGCTTACAAAGTATCTGCAGAAAAATAATAGGTTTAAAAAATGAGAAAGTAAACTTTGAAGAATAAAAAAAATAGAAAACAACGATTTGAAGATTATGAGAGTGTACATGTACGTTTATCGTTTTGTTTCAGTGTAACTTGAACTTGTGAGTCTTGTTTAAAAAAAATACCTGTTTTGTCCACGGATTTTATTTCTCGATTTTTTTACAGATAAGAATAAAAAAATAATGGAATAAAAGTACACCTTTACAATGAATTCGTTCAAGAATTATTACTAGGAGGTATACACAATGTATTCAACGAGTTTCTATGCACCCCGTATATATTGGAATTCGTTTTCTAATTTCCTTCACTATAACAGCGTTTTAATTTGTAAGAGCTTATTAATCTCTAATAACAATAATATTAATATAAAAAACAACAGATTGCAACGAACCTCCATATGACTTAACGTGAAGAGGTCCGCGCGCGCGCATGCGCATATGACATAAGTCACTATCAGCCACAGAGAAATCGAAATTGTTCGTTTCACGAAGTGACCTATCTGGATAGGTCGCCGTTCGCGCGCATGGAAAATGAAAATTAAATGTTCACGAAGTGACCTATCTAGATAGGTCGCCGTTCGCGCGCATGAAATGTGAAAATGAAATTTTCACGAAGTGACTTATGGATTTGGCGCCTATTTTTTACCTGGTAATGATGAGTTTTTGCCTTAGAAACAATTTAAAATCATAATTCAACTATCCAACTTTATTATATATAAAAACTGAGTCAACAAAAATTAGTGTTCTTGGTGAAAGAGTGGATGCAAAATAGGCCCAACTTCAAACGCGTTTTTCTCGAAATGGCAAAAACTGAAATAGGTCAGATCGTGGTACGATCGACGAATTGTTTATTGAGTGATCGGGCATAACCGCATCAGTTTTTAGAATTGTTCGAATAAATCTTGTTTGTTTCCGTTTTTCTGGACTGTAATTCTCCGCGGGTTTTCTCCACAATGGTTTATGGTATAAACTTGTAACTTAAAAAAAAAAAATCATCCCTGACCCCGAGTGGTACCCACGTCTTTCACTTATAACTCTTGAACAAAAAGAAAATCAATGACTCTTGTATTTTGTAATCAGATAAACCATTAATAAATTGATAATCGTTTTTATCTTGCACGTGAAATCGCTCGACCTTTACCTCCGGGGCTGAATATTCAAATGTAGAAATTTCTTCCAAATGGTTTACGGGATGATGATAAAACCTAATATGAATCTGAACCCTGGTCCGAAGATGTGAAAATGTTGTGAAGTTGTGACGCAAAAATTAACAGCGATTTAATGTCAACATTTTAAAAATTACTTTGAACTGTAACTTTTCACATAAGTGGAGTACAGTTCTCATTTTTGTTTGATCAGTTAGACAGTGTTTAGAGTAATATTTTGAATTTCCGTGCACTTAGTCGTTTGACCATTACTTCTGGTGTAATGAAATTTGAATATAACTTGGAAATGGAAGCATTTTACTAGTTATATAAATTAGACAAATAATCAGTGGGAATGTCAAACACAAAAATGGGTATGATGACGTCATTACGTGAAAGGACGTCCTTTAGCGGTACGTCAAAGATAGATGAAATTTGAATTTAAAAACCATTTGTCACACATTTTATCAAATTTCCCCCGATTTTCTTTGTACAATCTCAAAGGACTTTGTGGGGGTTCAGAATCATGACGTCATCGGACCGGAAGTTATTGTAGACAGCATTTGAAAATGATCAGTTTTCTTTCCTTTAAGTTGAAATCGAGACCGGAAGTTAAGTGTTATTAATACCTACACTGAAATATTCATTTTAATTTTCATATTTTCAGAAGTTGTTTTCACTGTATGATGAACGTTATCCTGTCTGAACTAAATAAATATTAAGTTTGGACATTTTAACTGATGACGTCATCAGTGTAAATAAAATGTATACTGATATTTATAAAACCCGAAAGGATACATTTTTGTTCAAGCTAAAACAAATGGTCCAACTGGCAACGGATGAATTTCTGTTCATAAAAATATTCACAACTTAACTGGCCAATAAAATAGTTGTAGCTCTAGTTATATTTGCAGTGTTATTTGTTTGATACAGGGATCATGGCAAATGTAATAGACTAAAGGACCAAATTCTTTAGAAAGAAATTTTGGGGCGAGCTGGGGATATTTTATCAGTGTAGGTTTTACTCTAGTTTTTATGAGGAAAAACTTGCAGAGGGTAAAGCATGAATAGGTTTTTGTTATCAAAACAAAGAGACTGGAATTGGCGTACAGCATGACTACATGTAGTCTAAATGAAAGTCGATGCCATTCCTATTAGGTTGGGGATGTGTGTAACCGCAGGATGGACCCGTGCTGTTTTTTTTGTAAGGTTGAGTACACAATGCTAGCATCCGTACGTCTATTGAAATCTAAAATGAAAAAAAAAAAACTTTCTGTAGGATCGGTAGGGCATCACTCGCCCGGCCATTGGAGCGGTTACAGGGCCACCACGCGGCGGCGCGCGGCTCCTGTCCGCCTGCCTCGTCTGTTGGACTGGCCGTTCCAACCGACCTTTAGCTACGAGATTTTCCTTGTTGAGTGGTCGGGCACAACCCGACCACTCTTTGGATCTGTTAGAATTAATTGGGTGGTCGGGCACAACCCGACCACTCTCTGTTTTTGTTCTGATAAATCTTTATTTTTTTTCCCGGACAATACTTCTCCGCGGCTTTTCTCCTAAACGGTTCATGATATGAACTTGTAACTTTCAATATATATCGACCCTCATCCCTAGTGGTGCATATTACTCTGACGTCATGATGACGTCATCGGGTGTCAAATTACAAGCGATTTCAGCTAAAAAAGTGATCAATTACTTTCACCTTTAACTCTTGAACAAAATAATCAATGATGTTTGTATTCCGTGATCGGATAGACCATGAATTGATAAACATTTTTGTAGTGTACGTGAACTCGCTTGACCTTTACTTCCGGGTCTACCGGAAGGTCAAAGTTAGGTGAATTTAAAATGAAGACTTTAGCCTGAAATCAAAACAAAGCAGAATTTCTTCCAAACGGTTTACGGTATGACCCAAAAACCTAATGTGAACTTGTACCATGCTTCGAAGATGTTACAAATTTTGTTACGTCATCATGACGTCATCAGGGATCAAATTACAAGCGATTTCAGGGCAAATTTTGACAAAATAGTTTGCGCTATATCTTTGGAACTAAATAGAGTATCGTGTTCGTTTTTTTCGTGAGGTTGTAGACTATGCTGTGAGAAACATTTCTTGTTCGCGGACACAAAACCGCTTGACCTTCACTTCCGGTATTACCGGAAGTGCAATGAAAACCGAATGTAATTCAAAAGTGGAAGCATTTAACTACACACATAGAAATTATGATAGTTTTTAGTGAGGAATGCCAGACAAAAAAGTGTGATGACGTCATCTTTCGAAAGGGCGCCCCTAGCGGCACATAACACAGTGTTTGCTCTTTCTAATTTGAAAACCATCCGTTCAAATTTTACCAAATCGCTCCTTGATATTCTTTGATTAGCCAAAAATAACTTGGCAAGGTTTCAAATTCATGACGTCATCGGACTGGAAGTTACTTCTGTGAGAATTTGAAAACGACCGTATTCTAAAATTCGATTCATGTCGTATATCTACGTAGCCCAAGTTACGATATCCATTACAATGGTCACTTTTTGCTGCCAAATACTGTGACGTCATCAAACCGGAAGTTAGTTGTTATGAATAAATACACGAATATTTTCCATACTTTCATTCGTCATTAAACTTCACAATGAACATTTATCCACTCAGAACTAAATCAGTATTCACTTCCCGTTTTTGAATAATGCCGTCATCAAGCCAGATATAACTTGTGCTAGAATGTTAACTGAATTTTACCACAAAATAATTGATTGTGCCCGACAGGATTTAATTTCGTGATCCTTTGTTCTTACATAAAAATATTCATAAGTTAACACGGCAATGTTTATTGGAAAAAAAAGTCTGCCCGAACACTATTATTGCGAGGTTCCCTCGGTTCTCCGTTTCTACCCGGCTCCAATACGAGAACCGGAACCGCGAGTCCAGGGATCTGTCCAAACATATTATATATCCCCTGATGCAAGGTTCGGGTAAAAAGTGGCATCTGGCTGTCGGACTAATTGGAATAATTTTGCCTATTAATGTGAAGATAAAACACCACATTGCAATAAAACTGCTATGTTAACACCATGCGGGTTGAGAATCACTGTTTTAGTTTGGATACCATACATGGTGCTTTTCGTTGACAGCGGAAACATTGTATTGTTCCGTAGACATTGCTGTGAGAATACATGTATTTTTTTTTAAATACATGGAAAAATTAATAAACCTTCCGCAAACTGCTTACTCACTGTATTTACCTGAAAGACACAAATAAAAAAAACAGTTCGAGGGCCTGATCTTTCGACATGTACTATTGGTGTCTTTCTCAAATTGCATGCAGGCCTTTCAAAATTTGGAGGAAAAATCCTCGCACAAAATGTTACATCTAGCATACACTATAAAAAAGTAGTTTTCTTGATTTTGTAGATAGTCAGTTTTGAAGGTAAATAAAACGTCAGTGCCTACTGCTGTTTTTTACATATCGCCCCCATGCAAACCTTTTACAGTGCTGAGATTTTGTGACCCTTAGTAACAATACAGGTCAAGTATTGACAATGCACTCCAAACAAAGTCTTACCATTGCATATGACAAGGTTGCCAACATTGTGAGAGTAATAGGAACCAAGGTCTTCCAGTGACAAACAGCAGTCCGGGGAAAAAGCTCGCTACTTGCGCCATTTTCCTTCATATTTGTTGATCGACTGGATCGATGGACGGAGCCTGTGAACAATATTAGACCAGGATAGAAATTACTAACCGAGGCTTTAAGCTCTCCAGAGCAGGAAGGGCGGGGGGGGGGGGGGTTAACAGGCATGTGTTATACAGGGTGAGTAAACAAAAAAAACCGAAACAAAAATGGCAGGACCAATTTTTGAATGAAGTTTGGTCCGTAGCACTTTCAAATTGTAGGATATGAAAGCCCAATCAATGAGCTTTCTTTTAGTACAAGAATCAATCAAATCATTCGTGTCATTTTCAAGTTACGAAATTTTGAACACAAACACCGTTTTAAAGTTCTGTCCTCGAATCACAATTTTCTTAGCCTACTTACCAATGTCCAGACCACTTCTAAAGACACTGCCAGGTCCAAAGGAGCAGAATTGAACGTTCAATTCTGCCAGCGACTATTTCCGTGTGCTCGAAACATCACAGGGTGTGGTTAAATTGGGACTCATTGGTTTGAACTGCGCTTGCCTTAGTGAAACTATTTTAGACAGTGAAATGTGACGTGTGTGCGTTAGAGCTATATTGTAACGTAACAGAGACAGACACGAGCAATTTACTAAATTTTCATGCGACAACCCCCTTTTGTCCCGGAACGCAAAATATCAATGCGCGGTGACAATTCCACTTTTGCACAATTGACTTTGATATAAATATGCATACCACACACAACACACTACAACAACCGACGACACAGTGGGCCAGGTCAAGGTCAAACTGCGCCAGAATTGGTTCGAGTCGCTGATTGGACTAATATTAAGCATCTAGGGGTTTTCTGACGCGAGAAAGACAGTGGGCATAATTTCCAAACGCTGTGACGTCATTTAAACGCTGAATTTTGATTGGCTGACATAATACGCACATTTACACTGTTTTTTTTAATGAGGAGAATGTTGATATAACTTTTATAATTTAATTTTAAGTTCTTAAATTGTGATACAATTGTATTTTAATGATTTTTGTATGTCATATGCAACAATGTTTTCGCATTCTGCTTAATGCCACGTTCGATCCTTGTTCCCAAATATAATATTTCGGAATCTAACGAGTAGCCTAAACAAATTTCGGAAGAGTAGAATAGACCTGTTCTAAACAACATTTCTTGTTGTGTTAGGACCATAAACAAATAAAGAAAATGTATTTTGATTGAACTTAAGGACTGGCTGTCATTCTTTTTTTCCTTTTTTTTTTTGGCGTTTTATTTACTGTAAATTATTCACGCCAGTTTGTTATTTCCATTTAACAGTTTACAAAAATGCTTGTACAATATATGAGCGCGTCAAAAATAGTTTTAAATCAAATCGGTTAAGCAGCAGAGTTGTGCATATTTACTCTATGCAATAATTGAAAATAAAGCACGTGATATGTTGATATTTTTTATTGTTTAAAAAGTCATTACAAGTAATTTAGATCGCAAGACTTCAAGAAACACTGGCAGTTTGGGACTCAAAAGAGTGTTTGATTTTGAACAGATATTAAACAATGGGTTTTGAACGTACGAAACTCTTCTTCTAAGCATTGTTGTTGACATATATATGGTTTTCTGTCCACCTTAAAACAACTTAAAGTGAATGATAGCCTTGGTCAATGCTCTCGTCGTTATTCGTCCCGTACGCGGTCAATCGTCGGCATATATCCTCACGCGCTATGCACATGCATGTACATCAAAATACAGCGCGAACAGCGACCTCACGCGGCCACTATTTTTATATGCAAATCAGTTGGGGACGATCGAGAGCCTTGGTTCAATCGTCCATGTGAGGTTTTGGGGGTGGTGCTCATTATGTTAATAGCCTTAGCTGACCTTAAATGTCGTTTTCTTATTGGTCGATCGTTGCGTGGAAACTTGCATAGTGAAACGTGGCACCGTACATAATCCATACACGTACACGTTGTGTGTCTCTGCAAACGGCACCAATGCACAAGAACTGTGGTTCCTGTCACGTCCGCAAAAGGCGAATAAATTTGATGACGTCCGGATTTACCAAGGTGTGATTGGACACTCCACATATTAGCCCCACCTACACTTATCTGTATTCGCATACGAGGTTGTGCGCTAGAAATCCAGCGCAAAATAATGAAAAGCATAAGCTTTTGCCGACGATTGAACCAAGGCTCTCGATCGTCCCCAACTGATTTGCATATAAAAATAGTGGCCGCGTGAGTTCGCTGTTCGCGCTGTATTTTTACATGCATGTGCATAGCGCGTGAGGATATATGCCGACGATTGACCGCGTACGGGACGAATAACGACGAGAGCATTGACCAAGGCTAAGTGAATGACAGCCAGGTCTACAGAGCAGTGTTGTCTTTGCTGCTGTGGTAGAAGCTTCATGGGAATACACAACCTGTCACACGCACAGGTCGTTACGGGTGGTTGAGTCAAAACAGGCCCGCCTAAGCACCGTCGCGTACTACTTCAAAATCGAATATCTCCAAAAGTCGCAAAAAGTCGCAGCCAATTTTTTTTTTTTAAACTGTGTGTTAAGGTTCAGGCGTTTGCAAATTGCAAGAGCTGAAGCGGGAATCGGCGGGAATACATATTTTCTTCATGTGCATAAAAAAATACCATTTAATAGACGATTTACATGAATTTCTTAGGCTATTTGAAACAGTAAATCAAAACTAGACGGATTATGAATTTTATTTCCATGAAATATATGATATCTACAACATTCAAGTAAATTTTTGTGGCGATATCTTTTACGTAGCGACCGAGACAGCTAGTTATATAAGGCATTACGTTTAACCAGCTATATTTGGATTGTTACAATTCTAAGTGAAAACATCAGAGTATCGACCATGATTAAACAATTTGTGTCCCTATTTCATGCATTTAGAGTACCCCTGGACCTTTGGAACTAACAAAAATTGAAGATATTGATTCTGAAACAATCACTTTTTGACCATTTTGGCGCAGTTTGACCTTGAACTGGCCCAATGTGCGACATATGCAACGCGACTTAGGACACGTGACCTTTACTGGATGACCCCTGCAAGAAATCCAGTTATTGGAGGAAAACTTCGGCCGAAAAATGACGATCACAGGGTTTTTTACTGATCAAAACGAACCATACATGAATCGGAAGGGATTTTCAACCTCTTAAAACAAAACCGTTATTACCATAAGTCTTGGGTCAAGACTTTGTTGATTATTGGATCATACACGATAACCCACCGCCGCGAGAGGGCGTTATTACAACGAACCGCTATCACCCACGAACCGCAGGCCAGTTTAAGACCCGAAATTGCCTACGCCGGCCAAATCACGATTTGCATGCCTTCTTTTAGAGCATTTTGCAGGCCAAGAACTTGAGGATTTGTAAGAACAAAAAGAAGGGTGAAAGCCATGAACGAGATAAACAAAAACTGGTCTCTCTACCTAACTATAGTCAAATTCATGGGCGGACCCAGAGAGGTTACTGCCGGGGCGGAGGGTGTACATGTGCGGTGGGCCGAAGGCCCAAGGGCGGATCCAAGAGGGGCAATGGAGCCATGCCTCCGCGCCCCTCCCCCCCCCCAAAAAAAAGCAGTCATTACGTCACAAAAAAAGGCAGCCATTACGTACACCATCTTTTCCAAAAAAGAAGTTTGGTTAAAGTCAGAAATTGCCTCAGACCGCACCACAGAGCATCAAGAATCCATTTTTTTTCGGGGCCCGGCCTTAGGCCCCAAACCCCACTCCGTGAATCTGTGGACCCACTTTATTGGGGACCAATTTTGTTTGCCCCCCAAAACAAAGTTGTGTTCTGGATCCGCCATTGCGGAGGCCGAAGGGCTCTCACTTTCACACCGACGGAAGGTGCCCCTTTTCTCTGAGCAAGTGCCCCTTTTTGTTGTTGCTCCCCCAGTTTAAAAGCGTTCCGCCGCTCCTGTAGGCTGCCTACTGGGATCATTGTTGCCAAAATGTCAGTTTCATTATTGACGATAAGCAACCTAATTTGACGATAATCAAATCGGAAGTCAGGTGTAAATCATACGTACAATAAACATGATATCTACGTTGGAGCTTTTTTCATATTTCTAGAAGTTATTTTTTATGTAAAATAACCTGTTTAAACTAAATCAATATTCGTTATGCACAAATCTAAACCGATGACGTCATCAAACCGGAAATAACGTGTAAATCGAATGTGACTTGAAATCTATCGATCCCTAAATGCAATTGCTCATACTAATAAATATAATAAATGCTCAAAAGCGAAAAAATTTGGAATTTCATCATTATTTTGAATATTTTTCCGTTGTCTTTTTGGCATAATCATATTTACGAACTGAGACAATGTCAAATTGATCTGCGCCCCATCACCCTGTGTTTGTTACAAAGACAAAGGAGTTATTATGCAGGACGTCACGTGTCACAATACAATATCGTGAAGAACCGGCACAGCCAAGTTTTTACCCACTCGGTGTGGATGTAAAGTATCACAAACATAGCCTAGAAATATCTTAAGTTCTTCCATTACAATAGTCTTGGGCATGTGGACGTTATTGCGTGAGGGATAAGCGAGATTCATGTCCCATGTAGGCAAGAAAAACGCCCCGAGGCCTCCTAAGGCCTCACGGTTGATGAGTTCAATCTGTGTGAAGATGTAGTCCGATGCGAACATCGCGGCTTCCCAGGTTTTATGCTCCTTTGCATGGGGTCCTTTGATGACGATAGGTACATCGGGGCATCTGCGCCTTAGATCAATGACAGCTTTCCTGATTAGACGGACTCGCTCGATGTAGCTGTCCCGCGTCCATTGGCTGAAGTGGGCCCATGGACTGATGACTACAACGTAGTTGCAATCGGCATCGTTGAGTCCATTCAAGACATCCACCTCCTCTTTCATCTCGTTCAGCTTATAGGTGTGCGACCCGATCACGTACGGGTGAAACTGAAAATACAAGGTGAGATTGAGAGAGTCATAGTGGATTTTTGACCACAATCTCCTGCCGGGCTTATCGACGGTGGCAGTGTTCAGTAACTTGATTAAACCATCCAGCCATTGACGAGTGGTTGAATCGCCAAGTAGCACAACACGCTTCCCGCGGAGGCAGGACGTCAGCGACGACTTCTCCGTCCAAGTCCCGAACTCGCACAAGAGTGAGTTCCACTTGCCATTCATCCAATACCCCTGGAGTGTAGGGATCGGCTGGTCCGCCTTGCAGCGAGGCAGTTTGTTGTGCTGAAATTCCGACCCTGTATGTGGTAAAATACGAATCGCAAACTCTTATCTTAAATACGTTGTCCGTCCGTAATCAGTGCTTGGTATACATATCGTCACCGACACCACGAAGTACCAGTAAAAACTAGCATTCGGAGAAAACGGCATCTGAAGTGGAACACCTTCTAAAACAACACTTTGCGTCAAAACTGCAGAGTATTTTTAGTTGGGTTTCTCGTTGTGGACACTAGATGTATCGATGTCATTAAATTTGCTGTTTTCACCAGTTTGTGTATTAAAACAACAAGAAATAAGAGAAAAAAAGATGAGTGCTAGTTCGTGAAACCAAAAAGCTGCGAAACTGTAAATTCTCGTTTTCACGAAGTAGCACGATTCAATGCATTACAACACTAGAAGAGTGTTACTTCGTGGAAACGGAGGTCAGCGCGCACGCGCTCAAACCCGAAGAGTGTTACTTCGTGAAAACGTTTTTGCTTGCATTTGAGAAGAGTGCGCGCCATGCATTACAATGGTAAATGGAACTTGAGTGTTACTTCGTGAAAACGAAAATTGTCACTTTCTCGCAAAAGTTGCCATGGTAATTAGCGTAATTATTAAAGTAAAGCTCTTGAAGATTTGAAACTTCGTGCAATGGTAGGCCTTGATGAATAATGTTTAAAAATGTAAGAAACTGAAAACTGAAAAAATATATGGTTTAACACGTGGAGTGTTACTTCGTGGTGTCGGTGACGATATATAACCCTCTCTCAATTTCGTTTTTTTCAAAGTTAATTTAAACATAGCCTAGATAATGAAAGGTTTATATATAGGCCTATAGACAATTGGGCAAACCATGTCACATGACTGTTTGTTAATTGCCGTCAACCACATCAAAGCATGTGCCACCAACCTTCAATTCGCAATGCGGAATTCGCCACGGGAACATCTTGCTCATAATATGGGCTGCAACGAAAAGGAAAAGATGACGTTTAATTCATAGAATCTCAGGCGAAATCATTTCACTCCAACTTTTTTCTTTAGATTCGATACATTTATTTCAATGCTGCCATAAAGGATGATACATAATGTTACATAATCAAATTGACAATACATGTACAAAGATATATTAACAACTGATATAATAGTTAACATTAACTAAATGGCAGCATCTAGGTCCGGGGTGAAGCATCAGCTTTTGTTCCCCAGCCTATGGACAGACAGACATACGTGAAATGAAAAGACAAAGCAAAGACACAGGTGTAAGACATAAATCAAGGCCGTTATTATCCCTATTAAATGCAATTACAAAAAAATGAGCATTAAGTTTTCTAGCAAAAACACAGAGAGTGGTTGATGATTTAAATGAGGCATCCAGACTATTCCAAAATAGAGTGCCACGTTGGACAACACTAATTTTGGACAATGGGGTTCTACTATAATTAACATAAAGATTTTTCCTATAGATTTTTCCCATGGTATTGGGAAGTTCGCTCCCACCACTACCCGCTCCCTCACCCCTGCTATTGGATCATTAATTCATGTTCCTAAATCTTGCACATGTATGCCAATTGGGAATTGGCTGTGCTTTAAATCAACGTTTGTGTGTGCATGCTTAAAACAACAAGGGTGCACCCCTGTAGCCACCAGTGCTAAATGCCCATACTTCAAAATTCTCTTTAAAATACTCAGAACTCTCACATGTATTTAAGTTGCACAGAAAAATGATGATCAACTTGTCATGTTTCCTTTTCTTTTCATTTTTTGGTGGGTTGACCAAAAACGGAAAAGTAGCCATCTTGAAAAACGATCTCTCCACAACATGGCAAAATAGCGCCACTTTCGAGCCCAATTGCATTCAAAATGCTCAGAATTGGAAGGCCCAAGTCCGGGCAAGAGGTTTATTGCAATATCTCTTCAATTCCCCAATTTTATGGCTCTCAGAACTCTTTAATATGGAATATTTTGAGAGTATAACTTTTATTCATGAGCTCGGCGGATGGGTTTGTGCCTATTTACAGCTGTGCACCCCTAAAGCTTTTCCTTTGTCTTTGCTGAATTAATATTTGACATGGTCTAATGTACTTGTAAATAATTATCTTGATGCCAAAAACCCCTGGAATTTAAAGTATTAAAATCAAACTTTTATCCGCATTTAAGCATTTACTAATTTGAACAATTGCATTTAGGAATCGATATACATTTTAATTGCACATTGTTTCCGGGTTGATGACGTCATCAGTTTCAACGAATTCTGATTAAGATTAAACAGATTTTATATGTTGCAAAAAGACTTCTGGAAATGTGATAATACCACGAACGTAGGCCTATGTGTACGTAATAATTACACATGACTTTCGGTTTGATGACGTCACAGTATTATGTTGTCAATAATAAAGCTGAAATCACTATTTAAGCAACAATGATATTTTGGCAAATGGGTACCGAACGATGCAAAACATTGATCATTTAGAAAATCTCCCTACAATAACATCCGTCCACGGACTTTGTGTGGGTGTGCTGTGTGTGTACAAAAGGCCCGAGGGATTAGCGTGTTTAGACGTCACTCGGAGGCGAGTTAAGTCAATCCTGACGTCTTAACCCGTCAGCCGTGCTTGTGTAGCCAGTGCGAGTAATCACGTCCTCCGACGCGAACTGGTTTTAAGCAAGGTTGAACAAAAATAGTTGCTACGAATGGGCGGGGGGTCAATACTAATTCTAACATTAATCAAAAGTACAAGTTGTACTGCCCACCTTTTGTATAAGTATTCCACACCATTAGCCAATTCTTTTGCTCTGTCACCAGTAGCCTGACGGTGAATATTGAGTGCGTACAGGGACTCACAGGGAAAGTCTGGTTTCTTGTCACAGAGAAAGACAGTGCTTCCCAATGCACGGTAGGCAGGGTACTCGCACTTCCCTTCCCACTTCCCATGGTGCTGCAGATAGCACACGGCATCCGTTGTGTTGCCTTTGAACGAATAACGTCCCAACCAAATAATCCTTCGCTCCGAATTCCACACAATGTTCCTCAAGTGGTACACAGCCTCGCTTGCGTGGACCAGGATCAAGTTGAACTTGGCGTTGCCGGGCCAGGCGGCCAGCACGTACGCGTCGTAGGTACCGTTGCCGTGGTCAACTACATGTCCAGCGGTGCTCGCCTTGGGGTCTTTATCGGAGTTCAAAGTAGCGTACCACATGTCCCCGCCAAGAATGCGTTTCCTCCCGTTGAAATCCCTGCTCTGAATTCGGTATTGTAAGACATCCCCTACTTTGATGCTTCGCCCTACGTGTGATACCAGCTCGACGTGTGTCATTTTGAAACTCGTCAACTCCATACTTGTCCCTCTCCCCGTGCTGTTCACGGCTTCTATGTTCTTGTATGCCGTGGAATCCACATCGTTGAATACAGTCTTATCCCACGTTTTGAGGAGCAAGTTTTGATCTGATGCCGCAAGCTGTGTTCCGGGGGTTCTTGGTACCTGAGACTGGTCAAGAGAAAACTGACCACGTGGCAGTATTTTGGGCGGGAGAATCACTTTCTTCGGTGCAATCAAGTGGAATTGTCCGCTTTGATAGAATAGTGCCTGTAGTAATGTTCACGAGTGCAAAACAAAGGGGAAAATCAATAAAGGGCTTCCACAAGTAAACAAATAAATAAATAAAAACAAAAATCGGCTAGAATAAGTTAATAGAGATTACTTCCCAGCTGTAAATCGATTTACATCGTTATAACAAAAGTGCACGAACACTGATATGTGTACAACTTTAAAGTGGGCATTGTTCTCTACCCGACTCATGCATTTCTGTTATATTTTTGAGGTAGAATTTTTTGTTGTATTTTCATTTTTTTCTAATGAGACTTATTCAAACATCTTACACACTTTTTTCTTGTAAGACTTCTATTCAAATATGTATACGAAACCTATTTTTATCGACAGTCTCTATTGTGCAATAATTTACACTGCATTCAATACTATAGTCTTCGGCCTCTTCGTTTCTTTTCCCCTTTGTTCTTTTTTAGAGGTTGGGCCCATGCCCCACCGGGAGGCCGTTGCCCTTTGCGACACTGTATTAGCGGAACTTGTCATGAATAATCAAAGTGTAGTCCGACAGCCAGTGTGAACCGTGTTTTGTTGGATATATATGTTTTTGTGTATTCTACCCAAGAAGGTCATACTATTAAAGCTATAGTCCATCATTTGCATTCATCCGAAAAAGTAACTGGCGTATTATTGTTGAAAAACATACTTGGTTGAAAGATAGTAAGTGGACTAAACTCCCTGTGAAATTAATCTTTCAGGCAAGCTATAATTTTGAAGTAATCAACGCCTAAGACGCACCGTAGGAAATTTTAAATTAGTAGTTCGTTTTGTTATTCGGCGCAGCGCGCGCAAGCATTGGCACGACGCACAGGCGCGCGCGGTTGCTATAATTCGTCGGATCAGTGCGCGACATCGCGTATAGCTGCAATTCAAAACAATTCAAAACATGATTCAGCAACTTTTGATTTAAAATTTAGATCCTAGAATGCTGTTTTTCGCGGAATATACAGCTGAAGCTGAGCTGAAACTTCATCAGGTTAGTTGTTCAGTATCCTTCATTAGATTTTGAACACTTTTGTTGCTTCAAACGAACAAAATGCACAAATTACAAATGATGGACTATATCTTTAAAGAATCTGCATGATGACATCTTCTCAGGGTTGGGCAATTTTTCTATGATATCGATTGTTTATTGAGTGATCGGGCATAACCGCATCAGTTTTTAGAATTGTTCAAATAAATCTTGTTTGTGTCCGTTTTTCTGGACTGTAATTCTCCGCGGGTTTTCTCCTCAATGGTTTATGGTATAAACTTGTAACTTAAAAAAAAATCATCGCTGACCCTGAGTGGTGCATTAGTTGAAAAAGTTACCCACGTCTTTCACTAATAACTCTTGAACAAAAAGAAAATCAATGACTCTTGTATTTTGTAATCACATAAACCATTAATAAATTGATAATCAATTTTTATCTTGCACGTGAAATCGCTCGACCTTTACCTCCGGGGCTACATCAAAGTCAAAGTTAGGTGAATTCAAAATGTAGAAATTTCTTCCAAATGGTTTACGGGATGATGATAAAACCTAATATGAATCTGAACCCTGGTCCGAAGATGTGAAAATGTTGTGAAGTTGTGACGCAAAAATTAACAGCGATTTAATGTCAACATTTTAAAAATTACTTTGAACTGTAACTTTTCACATAAGTGGAGTACAGTTCTCATTTTTGTTTGATCAGTTAGACAGTGTCAAGAGTAATATTTTGAATTTCCGTACACTTAGTCGTTTGACCATTACTTCTGGTGTAATGAAATTTGAGTATAACTTGGAAATGGAAGCATTTTACTAGTTATATAAGTAAGACAAATAATCAGTGGGAATGTCAAACACAAAAATGGGTATGATGACGTCATTACTTGAAAGGACGTCCTCTAGCGGTACGTCAAAGATAGATGAAATTTGAATTTAAAAACCATTTGTCACAAATTTTATCAAATTACCCCCGATTTTTTTTGTACAATCTCAAAGGACTTTGTTGGGGTTCAGAATCATGCGTCATCGGACCGGAAGTTATTGTAGACAGCATTTGAAAATGATCAGTTTTCTTTCCTTTAAGTTGAAATCGAGACCGGAAGTTAAGTGTTATTAATACCTACACTGAAATATTCATTTTAATTTTCATATTTTCAGAAGTTGTTTTCACTGTATGATGAACGTTATCCTGTCTGAACTAAATAAATATTAAGTTTGGACATTTTAACTGATGACGTCATCAGTGTAAATAAAATGTATACTGATATCTATAAAACCCGAAAGGATACTTTTTTGTTCAAGCTAAAACAAATGGTCCAACTGGAAACGGATGAATTTCTGTTCATAAAAATATTCACAACTTAGCTGGCCAATAAAATAGTTGTAGCTCTAGTTATATTTGCAGTGTTATTTGTTTGATACAGGGATCATGGCAAATGTAATAGACTAAAGGACCAAATTCTTTAGAAAGAAATTTTGGGGCGAGCTGGGGATATTTTATCAGTCTAGGTTTTATTCTAGTTTTTATGAGGAAAAACTTGCAGAGGGTAAAGCATGAATAGGTTTTTGTTATCAAAACAAAGAGACTGGAATTGGCGTACAGCATGACTACATGTAGTCTAAATGAAAGTCGATGCCATTCCTGTTAGGTTGGGGATGTGTGTAACCGCAGGATGGACCCGTGCTGTTTTTTTGTAAGGTTGAGTAGGCCTACACAATGCTAGCATCCGTACGTCTATTGAACTCTAAAATGAAACTAGAGGTTCGCGTTTGTTGTTACAAACGCAAGGTGGTCGGGCACGCAATTTGTTAATTAAACACTGTCGAGTTGAGTTATGAATATGTTTTTGTAAGAACAAGGATCACAAATGTATTATAGGGCCTGAAAATAATGTAAAGGAGATTTTTCAGAAGTGTTTCTATTTTTTTCTTGCAAGGGTAAGGATGATACTTTGTCGTGATATAGTTACTTTTGTTACATTACCTCGCAGTTTGGCCTGATGACCTTTGAAAATAACTCAAAAAAATGAATTTTTGCAGCCTCAAAATTGCCCCAAAATGGCCAAAACACATAATGGCCCGTAACCATGGCAACGGGCAAAATATCGGTTTAAAAAGTCTATTTTAGTTACTTGCTCCCAAAGTCCTTTCATCCCTCAAAGTTTTAAAAAATTCGATTTTTTTTTTTTTTTTGAGCGTGGACACTTATATGAAGTATTTACACGAAATTACTCTTAATATATTAAATTATCAGTTATGTGCTCATCTATGAAAGTCTTACTGATTTCAGTGGTGTGTTCAATATAAACTATGTCAAAGCGATTAAAATGGGGAAAAAAGACATTCATTTCGCAATAATACTCACTGTCCACTGTGCGTACAGTGCAGATTTAGTTTTTTGGGTGGGGTGGGTTTTTTCTTTTCATGCTAGATACCCACTTCCTATACAAAATGTCCCTCAAATGACCCAATGCATCACCTCTGAAGTGGGAGCAATCATATTCCAAAATTTTGATTTTCATCCCAATGATATCATTATTCATCCGTCTTTGTGCCGCTGCGTGTACAAATGAAATAAACGGCCTGAAGTTTTGCATATTTTATGAACATCTACAAAAGAGACACGACCATTAATTGCCTCTGCGCGCCGCATTTTGATAAACTGTCTTTTTCAGTCTCAGTGTCGGAATTATTAGCTTCTATATCAATGCTATCTAATAGTTTAGATGCATCAAGTCAATTTGTGAAGTTTCACCTAAATTTACACCTTTCGAGATGTACCACAAACGCATAAACACTCACTTATACCCGTATAGAGAGGCAATTCATCAGGATCCACATTTCTTTGTTTTTGTTTACTCTTTTTGTGTTCCCATTATTAATTTAAAGATACTTCCCTCCTCAACAAGCAAAATATTAATAACACGTTAAAAGCGACAAATGTGTTTACTTGGTAGTTGGTACTAACAAGTCTGTACCTTCCTGTTTCAAGAAATGAAGACTAGAATGGTAATTAAATTTAAATGACATTGAGTGTCAACAATAAATTATCATCTGTGGAGAAGCTGCATGGTAGAAAGCTTGAGGAACCGGTATCGGCTGAGCATATGCAGCGCGCGATTGTATGCTTTTTGGCAATTGAAAGGTTAAACAGGGTAGCTTCATCAGTAATAACATTTTAAAAACAGGTGGGCCCATTATTGATAAAAAGAGCACCTGAAACCTAAACCTAGAACTGACACTTAGGTATTCCATTATTGTCATTGTGTTAGCTGAATCAGTTACTCATGCAATAGACTTTTCCCCTGGTCCTGCGAGAGCTTATAATGTCAAATGATCATTTAGTGCCCGTGTAAAGATTTCCTGATTCGGCCTATATTGTGACATCACTGTTCATTTAGGTGGAGCATTAGTCATCGAATGCGGTCATAGATCTTGTGTAATCTTAATTTTACTGTAATTTTTACTTAATTTTGTAATTCATTGTGGATATGTCTTTCTCTCTTTGTTCTCTTTTATGTTTGAATTATTGCCAATAAAAGACTGTCCGCCTACCTCACGCCTCTTTCCGCAGTTAGTGATATCAGTGCATCAGATTGTCATGGGCCTTTCGTTCTGATGTGAATTAAGTAAATCCCATCCCATTGGAATAGGTGAAAACCCCATAGCCTTTTATATGACTCAAGAGAGGGAATTTAGCACACATTGCTGTGTGGCTCACAGCACAGAGGATAATTTGAGACACATTTATGGGTTTTACAACTTCCTACTTCCAACTTCCTACTCCCCCCATTATCCTTAGATTTTACGGAGGCCAAGTGTCCGGTGAAAAAAACGTGTCGACATTTCAGCACGGATGTGCCCCCCCCCCCCCAAAAAAATGCTGGATACACTGCTGCACCGATGGACGATGCATTTTACTGAGCAAGTGCCCCTTTTTGGTGATGCCCACCAGTTTGAAAACCGTTCCGCCGCCGCTGATTGCACGTGTCACTACAGGGTGAGTCAAAAAAAGCGGAACCCAAACCCCCAAAATTATATTTCATATTTAAAAAAAATATGTAGCACCAAACATAATAATGAATGGAAAACCAAATTCATAAGCTACTTTTAGATGAAAAAAATACTGAAATTGCTCAATCCGTTCAAAGAATATCGCCATTTAAACACAATGACCCTAAAACCTCTTTCGTCCAAAAATGCGATTTCAAGAATCGTCGTCAAAACTGTTTTCAAACATCACCAGCGATAAAACCTAAGTTTAAAAGTCAAAAATATTCAACAAAGTCCTTTTGAAGGCCCGTCTTTTAAAAAAACCGTGGATTTTATAAATCATATTGTTTGCCGCCCAGGGTTGTTAATAAAGATAGTGTGTACTACAGCTGTTGACAGTTGTTGAAACAAGTATTCTGTGTCATTTTCGTTGTTCCAAACAGTCAGAATACATACTAAACTGCTTTTTTTGTTGTTGGACGAAACAGGTTTTAGGGTCATTGCATTTAAATGGTGATATTCTTTGAACGGATTGAACAATTTCAGTAATTTTTTTCATCTAAAAGTAGCTTAAGAAATTGGCTTTCCAGTCATTATTATGTTTGGTGCTACATATTTTTTTTTAAAATATGAAATATATTATGGGGGGGGGGGGGTTTGGGTTCCGCTTTTCGACTCACCCTGTATCATGGCTATATGAGGCTACACTGTAACGTATATTTACTCTTACAAATTACAGAATGTCGAGCGAAGTTTCAATCAAACGGCAAAAGCCATGTGATTCTCAGGTTATTTACATGTGCGTGCACTCTGACCCAAACAAGATTGCATATTACACATTATACCAGAAAAACCAGACTGAACATGTTTATCCTCTGTCCCATATTTAACCCTTTCATGCACACATTGTTTATTGACTAGGGCCCCCCAGGACCAAATTGTTTGCTCAGTCATGCGGAAATCACTAGAGCGTGAACAAAATGAGCACGAGTCAAAAACTAACTTTTTTCAACCCAGATTTTCATTGCAAAGGAGTGATTAAAATCATAAATGTTGTGTGTAAAGTTTGTTCCTTGAACCTTACTCTTTTATGTGATGTAAAAATGAAGTCCATACGTGCAAATATAAGGAAGTTATGCTTTTTGTTCATCTGGTCCCAATTATCAAAACTGCAAGCCATTTCACCACATGACCAAATGGCACTCCATACCTCAAATTGTGCGTGGATACTTCTGAAGCACTTTTCTCATTTTTTTTGGTATGGTAATACTATGAATAAACCACACCAATAGAAAGATCCGAAAACACTCTTTCAGCTGGTATATGGTTGATGTATGGGCGGCCAAACATATCAACATGCCGCCTTTCTGAAAAGTAGTAAATAATCTGTGTTGAGGGTGTTCTGTGCGTGGTTTTCTGGTCGACAAAAGTCGCCCATGGTAAGGAAAGGGTTAAAAGAATTCAATAATTTGTTCTTTGAAACAAATGTTTTGTCAAATATTCTTGAACAACTAAAACAGACCATCATGTTTCGTTTTATTTTATGTAATTTAACAAAATTTAGTAATACAAAATAATGAGAAATATAGACAGCGCCACCATTATAGTTGTGAAAATCACAGAATGTCCCCCTGCAGATTCTGGCTAAACATGGTCTAAAGAACAGGGATCTGTCCAAACATATTATATATCCCCTGATGCAAGGTTCAGGTAAAAAGTGGCATCTGGCTGCCGGACTAATTGGAATACTTTTTTAAGATAAAACACCACATTGCAATAAATGCGGGTTGAGAAGCACTGTTTTAGTTTGGATACCATACATGGTGCTTTTCGTTGACAGCGGAAACATTGTATTGTTCCGTAGACATTGCTGTGGGAATACATGTATTTTTCTTTGAAATACATGGAAAAATTAATACACCTTCCGCAAACTGTTTACTCACTGTATTTACCTGAAATACACATATAAAAAAACAGGTTCGAGGGCCTGATCTTTCGACATGTACTATTGGTGTCTTTCTCAAATTGCATGCAGGCCTTTCAAAATTTCGAGGAAAAATCCTCGCACAAAATGTTACATCTAGCATACACCATAAAAAAGTAGTTTTCTTGATTTTTATAAAACGTCAGTGCCTACTGCTGTTTTTCACATATCCCCCCATGCAAACCTTTTACAGAGCTGAGATTTTGTGACCCTTAGTAACAATACAGGTCAAGTATTGACAATGCACTCCAAACAAAGTCTTACCATTGCATATGACAAGGTTGCCAACATTATGAGAGTAATAGGAACCAAGGTCTTCCAGTGACAAACAGCAGTCCGGGGACAAAGCCCGCCACTTGCGCCATTTTCCTTCATATTTGTTGATTGATGGACGGAGCCTGCGAACAATATTAAACCAGGATAGAAATTACTAACCGAGGCATTAAGCTCTCCAGAGCAGGAATGGCGGAGGGGGGGGGGGGGGGGTAACAGGCATGTGTTATAGGTGAGTAAACAAAAAAAAACGAATCAAAAATGGCAGGACCAATTTTTGAATGAAGTTTGGCCCGTAGCACTTTCAAATTGTAGGATATGAAAGCCCAATCAATGAGCTTTCTTTTAGTACAAGAATCAACCAAATCATTCGTGTAATTTTCAAGTTACGAAATTTTGAACACAAACACCGTTTTAGAGTTCTGTCCTCGGATCACAAAAAAAATCTAGCCTACTTACCAATGTCCAGATCACTTCTGAAGACACTGCCAGGTCCAAAGGAGCAGAATTGAACGTTCAATTCTGCCAGCGACTATTTCCGTGTGCTCGAAACATCACAGGGTGTGGTTAAATTGGGACTCATTGGTTTGAACTGCGCTTGCCTTAGTGAAAATATTTAGACAGTGAAATGTGACGTGTGTGCGTTAGAGCTATATTATAATGTAACAGAGACAGACACGAGCAATTTGATATAAATATGCATACCACACACAACACACTACAACAACCGACATATGCAACGCGACTTAGGTCACGTGACCCTTACTGAATGACCCCTGCAAGAAATGACTTTGTTGATTATTGGATCATACACGATAACCCACCGCCGCGAGAGGGCGTTATCACAACGAACCGCTATCACCAACGAACCGCAGGCCAGTTTAAGACCCGAAATTGCCTACGCCGGCCAAATCACGATTTGCATGCCTTCTTTTAGAGCATTTTGCAGGCCAAGAACTTGAGGATTTGTAAGAACAAAAAGAAGGGTGAAAGCCATGAACGGGACTAATTTTTGGATAGAATTTTCTCCCAAAATTCATTGGTGACCCTCCCCTTTCCTAATTTGATGTGTGTCGTCCCAAACACGCTGTGAGCATTTGTCCTGAATTATTCGGAATTCGGAAGTGAGCGTATCACATCATATCACAAAAACATAATTAACAAGATCTATATAAAGAATGACAGAAATGATACGCGGGATGCAGGTAAAAAGCATAAGCTTGAACAAGACCTGGAACCCGTAATTACAAATTAAGCTAACACATTAATATGAATTATATCAGGTGAATACATGTATACTAATTAAATTGGAAATAAATTAAATTAACAGCAAAATATTCACATTCGTGTGAATATACATATATACTGTTGTATATCCATAGGCCTACATTACAAGGAAGGAAATCAATTAGTTACGATAATACAGGAAATGAAGGAAGAGGGAAAGGAGCAAAAAGTGGCCAAGGAATGATAAAACAATGATATGTTTTCAACAATCCGTGAGATGACATGGAATTTAATATTTATTGGGAAACTTAATTATCAGTATTATTTGTCAACATCAACATTTTCAGGTAGTTTTTGAAGTGCTTCATTGATCTAAAGATATGTGTTGGTTTAAGGTTTGTTGATTCCACAAAAGAGGTCCTTGGTTTCTGACAGTCGATAAGTAAAGAGATGTTCTCGTTAGTTGCAGAATGCAGAAAGTATAGACTTTCATAAAAATTGTAAAGCTCCACAGTGTCCTGTAGACGAAATCACGGTTCATTAAAAAAAAACCCACATATTTCAGCCGGTATAAAGTCATACCAAAATTCAATAGGCCTATACAAAGTTGTTTGTTAGTTGAAATATTGAAGAATCAATATTAAACGTTTGAAAAGATTATTACCGCATAAACCGGACGATTATTTCATTTCGTTCAGTCCCCAGATTTCCGTTGGATAAAGTTTCTCCTTAGTTAATCCTTGCATCGAAATTTCACAGTAACACTTCGTTTGTTTCATTTTATTCATACGAGCAAATGCTTGGTAGTCAAAGCAAACGCTAGTTTTTATTCATACGATCCATGGTATTATATTTACTCTTAATCTGCCCGGATTGACCTGGCAGCATGCAAAAGTGTGAATTTGATCAGTCTCCCTCCTGTTTCGTGTCTTGTTTTTTTTTAAATCAGTTTTCTTGTTTTACTATGTGTGGGATAACATGCTTCCGAGCAATTTAGTTTACTTTTGCTGTCCCTGATATGACCCGCATAGTATTTTTTTTTTTTTTACATGAGTTTATTTGGGTGTCCTACCACTGATTGACTTCTCATACTTGCATGCTTTCCTCATACACTCATACACTCATTAATCATGTTTTTACCAAATCATAATTCTACCGTTCACTATGCTCGTCTAGTTGCCCTACTTGTCATCGTCTTTATTGTATATAGCTTCTTGGTATTTTTGTCGTTATTTTTGTATTTCTAGTTTTTGGATTGGTCCTGTACATCTTTATATTATTGTTCCTGTTCTGTTTTGTGCTGTTGCGTTCGAATAAATAATAATAATAATAACAATAATAATAATGCATGTAGGAATTACTCTAAATGCTATAATAGGGCGACTTTTCCATAGACTTGTGCACAAACCTAAACTGTCACCTAACCCAAATTTACCTATTCCTTTTCCCACAAAATTCGGTATTTTCACTAATTGGACCACGAGGAATCGATCTAGATGGTTTGCAACAATAACATTCCTTGTCCTAAGGGTCGTTTTCACAAAAGGGCGACAGGTATAATATGTCGCCTTAATAAGGTGTGTCGCCCTTTTGTGGACGCAGTTAGCAACATCTGTTGGCCTATTACAGCATACAGCGGAATAATAATTATGATTTGTTTTAACATTTGCATTTTATGCGATTAACATGAATAAATGTAGCATTTTTTGCATAGGTGTATTTGCCATATGTTCAAGGTATTTTATCTTATTCGTATAATACACCTGAGAGCAAAATGCTTAAACATTTATTGAAAGCAATTGAAATGCGAGTTTGTATGCCTACAACACACGGCATTATACATGTATGTACTTAATGAATTTATTAAAATTAATTTTACGCGACTGTTATTGATAACTGCAGCAATTTTTGCACACGGTGTTTGCTTTATATTTTAGGTAGTCGCCACCCAACCTTGAAAAATGACCAATACATATTTGAAATGTGAAGCATTTACATGTACTCTTTGTTTAGCTGCGGGATAGCAGCTCAACAAATCATCATGTCTCCCCGTTAGTCCGTTAGTTAGTAACAAACGTTGACAGTTGTCAATTGCTCCTATATTTCGACCGATTTCAACCAAAATTTGTCAACAGTATCAGTAGCCCAGCCCCAACATGTCACATGACCAAACTGGGGTCAAATGTCATCATGGGGTCACTGGGTCAAAAACCTGATTTTTTTTTACTCAACACAATACTCCTTCCAAAACGTACATGGCACAGTCACGTGACTTATGCATGAACACGAATTCGTTGGCCCGCAGCTTCCGAGATATTTCCGGTCGAGCTTGTTATTCACACGAAACAAAGTAAACGCTTAATCCCGCAAAAGCTAAAAAGTATAAAACAAATGGTAAAATCTTTCAGATTACAAATCCCAGTAGATGCCTAAAAAGTGGTAGTAGTAAAAGCAAACGCTAAATTTTATTCACACGACCCTTTGCGCTTATTCACTGATAAATACATAAAACCACTAAGTGCGGGCGGTTTCAGGCGCCTACAAAACAAGGATAAATAGGCAGGGCGGTTTCGGCCGGAGTGACTAATTAAGGGAATAAAATGTGTTCTTGGCGGGTTTAAAACACTTGTTTAAGACCGGTTGGAGTCTGGTTACTGATAATTACCCGATCCGAAGGCGTTCGGCGAGGGTAATTATCAGCATCCGGACTCCAACCGGTCTTGAACATAGTGTTTAATACCTGCCAAGCACATATTTATTCCCATTCATAAATACTTGTTCGGTCAAAAAAATCAAAACTTTCCGATTCAAAAGTCAAAACAAGTCAAAAAGTATAAATTTCCGACGATTTTGTTCAACAAGTTTACTTCATGTTTTCTTTTCGGGATATCCCTCTAGCTATATAATGCTATGTCCAGTCTTGAGAGTAGTGGTAAACAACTCCTTATATGGAGATATGCGGGATGTGGCGCAGAACGCAGCTGTGCCGGTGTATCGTGAATTTAGGACCATAAATACTGAATCACATCGTCAGACAACACAGCCTCTTTCCATAATCGACAAAGACAGGAAAGTCAAACGGAGTTCCCATCGAGAGAAAATGGAATGGTTAGATAACCTGACAGAGAAAGCTGAGGAGGCAGCTGGATCGCATTGAAGGAGAGTCACCAGCACCTTGTCTTCAAGATCTGGCCCAAATAAAGCCAAAGATGGGAACCTTCTGTCAAGTGGAGAGGAGAATCTGGCAAGGTGTACTGAGCATTTCAATGAAGTGCTACAAATTGACCCCAACCTGGTACCCCTGCCCAGGCCGAAGACCTTGTATACACCCTCCCCATCAACACTTCACCAATTAGGAAGTATAAGGAAAGCCATAAGGATGTTAAAAATATCAAGTCGCCCGGCATGGATGGCATCACCGCCGCAATGCTAAAAGCCGGAGGCGATGTGACTGATGGTTGTGCCAGATGTGAAACCAAGTGTGGTGGTTCATCTGGACTGGAAAGATGGTGCTGTCATCTGCATAGTATACCAAGAAAGGGAATCTTGCTGACTGTGACATTTGGAGGGGAGTGTCATTGCTGTCAATTTCTGGTAAAGTCTATCGTCGAATGATCTTGAACCGATTGAGAGGTGTCGTCGGTAGCGAGCTGTGATAGGAGCAGGCACGCTTCAGACCAAAACGCTCATCCGCTGAACAGATCTTCACTCCCCGGCGTATAAATATCATCGAGAAATGTCAAGAGTACCAGGTCCCCCTTTGCTATCAGCTTCATCGACTTCAACAAGGATTTTTGACAGCGTCCACCGACCATCCTTATGAAGAGTACTCCTCTCATTGAGTCCCAGAAAAAGTCGTCATACGGAGTAATAGTGTGCATCTACGACAACTCGCGCTGCTGTGTCAGGATAAAGTTGGTTCCAGGTGACCAGCGTCCGACAAGGCTCCATCCTCTCCACAATCCTCTTTGATGTGGCAATCGACTGGGTCTTGAAAAGAGCCACGAATATAAGTATGCACTATTCGATGAGCAGTATCGACAATTAAACTATAGCAAACTCTTCACCAAATTAATTACAGATAATCAAACAACTCTGTACATCAGTGAATTGAATACTTCAAAATGCACTCCATCGTTGCCTACAGTCAGTCACCGGTTGCAATGTCAAACTGGGGGGTCTAGCAGTACTCCCAAAATACGAATAATCGTCAAGATTTTGGCAAAACCCGAAGAGCAAAATCTCCGATGAAATTGCCAAAAGCTTGCTAAAATGGACAGGGCTTGACCACTGGAGATGTTGCAACAGGCAGCGAAACAACTGACCATGGGTAGGTGTGGAAGGCAAACTATACATATATCTAAACACACACCACTGCCTCACACTCCAATGCACATAATTAGAAGGCCCCACACGATTGTTTAAATTCAAGTCTCATTTTTTTGTAAAATGTCTAAGATGCATGGTCCAAATTCTAGAGCCCTACACAGTACTTCAAATGCAAATTAATAACATCACAACATGACATGAATAAGGAAAACTAAGATTATTTTGATTGATTTTATTTTGGTAAGATTTATATCCTTTTAATATATTTCAAATAGGTAAATGTATGTATAAGAACAAACACGTTATGATCAATTGCCTACAATACATTGATAAATTGATGAATGAATCAAAGCTGTATCACGATTTGTATAGGCCTGCATACTTTATTTAATAATTGGCAACGCATCCGTCAAACCGAAAGCCTAATCATGTATTTGTAATCCTTTAAAAGAAACGTTATGTACATTCATTTATGTGAAGGATGCAAAATGAAACCCGATGCTAGTCATTCCGAAAATGAAACCAGAATAAACATTCTTCATTCATATGCATATTTTTGAAAATTGTCCGGGAAAAACCTATATAGTACTCCTCCTCACGCGAATAAAATGGTCACTGAGTCGGCCATTAAAAGCAACAGTACCCCTCTCGAGATAAACAAAAACTGGTCTCTCTACCTAACTATAGTTGAATTCATGGGCGGACCCAGAGAGGTTACTGCCGGGGCGGAGGGTGTACATGTGCGGTGGGCCGAAGGCCCAAGGGCGGATCCAGAAGGGGCAATGGAGCCATGCCTCCGCGCCCCTCCCCCCCCCCCCCCAAAAAAAAAAAAACACCCCAATTTTTTTTAGTGACGTCACAAAAAAGGCAGCCACTACGTACACCACCATCTCTTCCAAAAAAGAAATTTGGTTAAAGTCAGAAATTGCCTCAGACCTCACCACAGAGCGTCAAGAATCCAGTTTTTTTCGGGGCCCTTAGGCCCCTAAACCCACTCCGTGAATTTGTGGACCCACTTTATTGGGGACCAATTTAGTTTGCCCCCAAAAACAAAATTGTGTTCTGTATCCGCCATTGCGGAGGCCGAAGGGCTCTCACTTTCACACCGACAGAAGGTGCCCCTTTTCTCTGAGCAAGTGCCCCTTTTTGTTGTTGCTCCCCCAGTTTAAAAGCGTTCCGCCGCCCCTGTAGGCTGCCTACTGGGATCATTGTTGCCAAAATGTCAGTTTCATTATTGATGATAAGCAACCTAATTTGACGATAATCAAATCGGAAGTCAGGTGTAACAATAACACGTACAATAACATGATATCTACGTTGGAGCTATTTTCATATTTCTATAAGTTATTTTTTTATGCAAAATAACCCGTTTAAACTAAATCAATATTCGTTATGCACAAATCTAAACCGATGACGTCATCAAACCGGAAATAACGTGTAAATCTAATGTGACTTGAAATCTATCGATCCCTAAATGCAATTGCTCATACTAATAAATATAATAAATGCTCAAAAGCGAAAAAAGTTGGATTTTCATAATTGTTTTGAATATGTTTCCGTTGTCTTTTTGGCATAATCATATTTACGAACTGAGACAATGTCAAATTGATCTGCGCCCCATCCCCCTGTGTTTGTTACAAAGACAAAGGAGTTGTTATGCAGGACGTCACGTGTCACAATACAATATCGTGAAGAACCGGCACAGCCAAGTTTTTACCCACTTAGTGTGGATGTAAAGTATCACAAACAAAGCCTAGAAATATCTTAAGTTCTTCCATTACAATAGTCATGGGCATGTGGACGTTATTGCGTGAGGGATAAGCAAGATTCATGTCCCATACAGGCAAGAAAAACGCCCCGATGCCTCCTAAGGCCTCACGGTTGATGAGTTCAATCTGTGTGAAGATGTAGTCCGATGCGAACATCGCGGCTTCCCAGCTTTTATGCTCCTTTGCATGGGCTCCTTTGATGACGATAGGTATATCAGGGCATCTGTGCCGTAGATCAATGACAGCTTTCCTGATTAGACGGACTCGCTCGATGTAGCTGTCCCGCGTCCATTGGCTGAAGTGGGCCCATGGACTGATGACTACAACGTAGTTGCAATCGGCATCGTTGAGTCCATTCAAGACATCCACCTCCTCTTTCATCTCCGTCATCTTGTAGGTGTGCGACCCGATCACGTACGGGTGAAACTGAAAATACAAGGTGAGATTGAGAGAGTCATAGTGGATCTTTGACCACAATCTCCTGCCGGGCTTATCGACGGTGGCAGTGTTCAGTAACTTGATTAAACCATCCAGCCATTGACGAGTGGTTGAATCGCCAAGTAGCACAACACGCTTCCCGCGGAGGCAGGACGTCAGCGACGACTTCTCCGTCCAAGTCCCGAACTCGCACAAGAGTGAGTTCCACTTGTCATTCATCCAATACCCCTGGAGTGTAGGGATCGGCTGGTCCGCCTTGCAGCGAGGCAGCTTGTTGTGCTGAAATTCCGACCCTGTACGTGGTAAATACGAATCGCAAACTCTTATCTTAAATGTCACATGACTGTTTGTTAATTGTTGTCAATCACATCAAAGGGTTGTACCACCAACCTTCAATTCGCAATGTGGAATTCGCCACGGGAACACCTTGCACACAATATGGACTGCAACGAAAAGGAAAAGATGACGTTTCATTTATAGAATCTCAGGCGAAATCATATCACTCCAACCTTTTTTCTTTTTAGATTTGATACATGTATTTCAATGCTGCCATAAAGGATGATACATAATGTTACATAATCAAATTGACAATACATGTACAAAGATATATTAACAACTGATATAATAGTTAACATTAACTAAATGTCAGCATCTAGGTCCGGGGTGAAGCATCAGCTTTTGTTCCCCAGCCTATGGACAGACAGACATACGTGAAATGAAAAGACAAAGCAAAGACACAGGTGTAAGACATAAATCAAGGCCGTTATTATCCCTATTAAATGCAATTACAAAAAAATGAGCATTAAGTTTTCTAGCAAAAACACAGAGAGTGGTTGATGATTTAAATGAGGCATCCAGACTATTCCAAAATAGAGTGCCACGTTGGACAACAGATTTTTCCTATAGATTTTTCCCATGGTATTGGGAAGTTCGCTCCCACCACTACCCGCTCCCTCACCCCTGCTATTGGATCATTAATTCAGGTTCATGAATCTTGCACATGCATGCCAATTGGGAATAGTCAGGTGCTTGGCTGTGCTTTAAATCAACGTTTGTGTGTGCATGCTTAAAACAACAAGGGTGCACCCCTGTAGCCACCAGTGCTAAATGCCCATACTTCAAAATTCTCTTTAAAATACTCAGAACTCTCACATGTATTTAAGCTGCACAGAAAAATGATGATCAACTTGTCATGTTTCCTTTTCTTTTCATTTTTTGGTGGGTTGACCAAAAACGGAAAAGTAGCCATCTTGAAAAACGATCTCTCCACAACATGGCAAAATAGCGCCACTTTCGAGCCCAATTGCATTCAAAATGCTCAGAATTGGAAGGCCCAAGTCCGGGCAAGAGGTTTATTGCAATATCTCTTCAATTCCCCAATTTTATGGCTCTCAGAACTCTTTAATATGGAATATTTTGAGAGTATAACTTTTATTCATGAGCTCGGCGGATGGGTTTATGCCTATTTACAGATGTGCACCCCTAAACCTTTTCGTTTGTCTTTGCTGAAATAATATTTGACATGGGCTAATGTACTTGTAAATAATTATCTTGATGCCAAAAAACCCTGGAATTTAAAGTATTAAAATCGAACTTTTATTCGCTTTAAGCATTTACTAATTGAACAATTTCATTTAGGGATCGATATACATTTTAATTGCACATTATTTCCGGGTTGATGACGTCATCAGTTTCAACGAATTCTGATTAAGTTTAAACAGATTTTATATTGCAAAAAAACTTCTGGAAATGTGATAATAACACGAACGTAGGCCTATATGTGTACGTAATAATTACACATGACTTTCGGTTTGATGACGTCACAGTATTAGGTTGTCAATAATGAAGCTGAAATCACTATATATTTTGGCAACAATGATAAGGCAAATGGGTACCGAACGATGCAAAACATTGATCATTTAGAAAATCTCCCTACAATAACATCCGTCCACGGACTTTGTGTGGGTGTGCTGTGTGTGTACAAAAGGCCCGAGGGATTAGCGTGTTTAGACGTCACTCGGAGGCGAGTTAAGTCAATATTGACGCCTTAACCGTCAGCCGTGCCTGTGTAGCCAGTGCGTGTTATCAAGTCCTCCGACGCGAACTGGTTTTAAGCGTCATTAAGTTTTCGCAAGGTTGAACAAAAATAGTTGCTACGAATTGGAGGGGGGGGGGGGTCAATACTAATTCTAACACTAATCAAAAGTACAAAATGTACTGCCTACCTTTTGTATAAGTATTCCACACCATTAGCCAATTCTTTTGCTCTGTCACTAGTAGCCTGACGGTGAATATTGAGTGCGTACAGGGACTCACAGGGAAAGTCTGGTTTCTTGTCACATAGAAAGACAGTGCTTCCCAATGCACGGTAGGCAGGGTACTCGCACTTCCCTTCCCACTTCCCATGGTGCTGCAGATAGCACACGGCATCCGTTGTTTTGCCTTTGAACGAATAACGTCCCAACCAAATAGCCCTTCGCTCCGAATTCCACACAATGTTCCTCAAGTGGTACACAGCCTCGCTTGCGTGGACCAGGACCAAGTTGAACTTGGCGTTGCCGGGCCAGGCGGCCAGCACGTACGCGTCGTAGGTACCGTTGCCGTGGTCAACTACATGTCCAGCGGTGCTCGCCTTGGGATCTTTATCGGAGTTCAAAGTAGCGTACCACATGTCCCCGCCAAGAATGCGTTTCCTCCCGTTGAAATCCCTGCTCTGAATTCGGTATTGTAAGACATCCCCTACTTTGATGCTTCGCCCTACGTGTGATACCAGCTCGACATGTGTCATGTTAAAACTCGTCAATCCCATACTCGTCCATCTCCCCGTGCTGTTCACGGCTTCTATGTTCTTGTATGCCGTGGAATCCACATCGTTGAATACAGTCTTATCCCACATTTTGAGGAGCAAGTTTTGATCCGATGCCGCAAGCTGTGCCCCGGGGGTTCTTGGTACCTGAGACTGGTCAAGAGAAAACTGACCACGTGGCAGTATTTTGGGCGGGAGAATAACTTTCTTTGGTGCAATGGAAAACAACTGTCCGCCGCGGCTCTGAGAGAGTAGTGCCTGTAATTTTGTTCACGAGTGCAAAACAACAATAAAAAACTATAAAATACTTCAAAAAGATAATTTAGAAAGGGGGTGGGTTGGGGTGGGGTAAGGTTCAAGCCCGATCTGAATCGGAAAAATTTTGCCTATACAATGTGCAGAAAGGACGTCACATTGTAGTAAAATCTGCTATGGTAAGACAGGCGCGGTTCTAGAGCCTATATTTTAATGAGGCTAGCAGGGGTGGATCCAGAATGTTTTTGCAGGGAGGCGTGCTGAAATGTAGATCGTTTTTTCTCCGGACACTTCACCTCCGAAAATCAATGGGTGGGGGAGGGGGTGGGGTGGGGCTCATGCCACATTTTCAATAGGGAGCGCTGATAAAATCCTACAATCATACACAGACTATATTACCTAATAGTGTACAAATGCCCCTTTTTCAAGACTACTTTTTAGGGTGGAGACCGTCCGCATGTGACATTTTAACATTTGCTACTGCCATTCTTTTTAATGGATTTTTTTTTGGGGGGGGGGGGGGTAGACACAAGTTTTGGGGGGCTAAAGTCCACCCTATAGCCCCCCCCCCCCGCCCGATTTTCTTTTTAGTTGAAATATAATTTCATGTGCATAATTCATTTCATAATTTAATTGGGCATGTGTATTTCACAAAAATGCTTCTAATTTCAAAACGACAGCACTGATCTTTGTGAAACATAAAAAAAGAATATTTGATTGGTGCATGTGGTCCTTTATACAAGGTGTAAAACATTATATGATGAAATCAGGCCTTGATCTTTAAAGGTATTACATAGATCTAAATCTGAAATTTTATGGAGAAAGTTAGGAATGAGAATATATCAATTGGGACTTTAATACACTTTTAGGTGGTGTACAGCCTACCTGCGAAGTTGATTCATAATTATCATTACTGCTAACAGATCAAGGAATGCAATCAAAAGTGATTGTGCTCACTACACAATTCAGTGATATTCTACAAGAGCTTAAAATTCAAACTTCGAAGAAAACATTTAGACTCTGATCTTGACTCTGATCTTGATTTAAATGTTTGACCCTCTATCAATTTATTTTGTCAAAATAAGATTTTGTTTATACTATAAGTGATTTATTGTTTTTTTAATTATTATTTGATTTTAATCCGCAATTTAAATCAGTAAACCATGTTAATTTATGTCAAAAATTAATCAAAGTCCCGCAAACGGCCTCCTGGATTTATCTGAAATATACAAATATAAAAAAGTTGCATTTTTAACTCAAATATGCGGAACATAGTTTCCGTTTATTCCAAAGTACAGAATAAGTGATGCAAATTATCTTACAGTGTAGATGCTCCATCATCCTGTTTTTGGTCGCCATTGTGCGACGATTTTAAATTATTATTATTAGCAACAACAAAGGCCTAATATTGATCATGTACCTCAAAGAAAATCTTACCATTACATAGGACAAGGTTGCCAACATTGCGAGAGTAATAAGGGCCAAGGTCTTCCAGTGACAAACGGCAGTCCCGCGCCAAAGCCCGCCACTCGTGCTATTGTCCATCGTATTCTTTAATCGAATAGGTGGAGCCTGTGAGCAAAATCGAACCGCGGTAGAAATTTCCAACTGGTGGTTAACTTCATGGGGGAACATATTATTTTGCATGGCTTTCCTGGTTTTTGTGTGTGACCCAATCCCCCCCCCCCTTGATCGCAATGATCCACTACTGCCTTTAAAAAACAAAAACATTTTCTCTTTCTCCCGATTCATATTCATATCTTTGCAGTTTGCACCCACAATCGTCTTACAATTGCATTTTTGTTCTCGTGGTAACACATTCACTTCAGAATTTGCGTCTTCAGGGAGACCCAGATTGACGCTCAAGCTTTACTTTGATGTTTGGTTTCAGGGGCAATCAATTTCACACAATCGTACAATAATAATATGCATTCAAAATATTACAGAAGAGATATGCAGGTAGGCCTAATCCATGGCGGCCGAGACAGCATAGTATATCAATCGCAATCTCTTTATTCAAAACCCAAGATTCATGCATGGTAGAAATGAATTCTCGAAGAAATATCTGCCCTTATAAATATGTAGGTAATCCAAAACCAAGAATTTGAAAGGAAAATGTGTGGGAAAAAAAATGTCTGCCAATTAATGAAATGGAATTGTTGATAAACATTCTGATAATGGCTTGGTCGAAAATGAACACAAATCCACGATTTGTCAAATTTGAATGTGAATTTTGAAAGCAAAACAAACAACCTTTATAATTTTCAAAAGCCTACTCAATCAATGAAAACGAATAACACCTTTTTGACGACAAAATGTTGATGTGAAGCAGCATTCGATTGTAAATGGAATTGTTTACGAATGGGCTGGTTATTAAATTAAACGTCTTTTTGTTGAAGTTGGCAGAAAAAAAGTCATAAGAATGAATGCACAAATCCTAAACCTCACACAAGAACATCGAGTGAATTTTCAAGTATAAAATGTTCAGTTGCATTCAGTGTATGATGAATAAGAAGAATTTGACAAATTACCAGGCAACTGGCAAAATCGACTGTGTGTAAGAAAAACACAAATGACGTCTAAACAAAACATCAAACATCAAGAAAAAATAAAGCACAATCTAGCCTACTTACCGATGGCAAACAACCCCGACCACTTCTGAAGACACTCCCGGGAACAAAATACCACAGGAATTGGCATGCAAATGCGCAGTTTTAGGTCATGGGCGGCACTGCGACAGAGCGGGCTGGAAACTACTCATTTATGTACAATACCAAGTAACCATTGGCAACTGTAAAACGTTTTTTTCCTTTTACTGATGAATCCATCCACAAAACCACTGAGTGCTTGGGCGATTTCAGGCGCAGTGATGAATGGGTTAAGACTGGGTTATGATCAATAATACAGACCAGATTCTGAACCTGTATTACCACATGAAACGACTAAAACTATGATACTGACACCAACAAATATTCCTCCGAAAAGTCGGCGTCAAATTCGCTGTGACAATTATTATTCTGCCACGGTTTAAATTAGCGTGGAACAACAAAACACGAGTACAGTGCTACGCCTCATAATAATAATATGCATGTACCATGATCAGCATCACGGCATCGACATCCGGGCCATCGCTGCAAGGATACACTTTTCGACTGCGCAATAGCCGTAGGCGTAATTTATATTCCTAGGATGGTTAGGGCAATGTCATGAATAATTCATGTTTATCCATGAGAACGGACAATGACATCAACAGCATTGTTGTTAGTTACTCAACTAGTTACAATACATTAAAGCATTTTAAAGAACGGTTGTCGTCGAGCTACCACACAGTAGCCTAGTGGATAGCGAGATGAGCTATGGCTACAAAGATCCCTGGTTCGAATCCACGTCGTCGCTGCTCATTTTCATCAGCTATTTTTCTTCTCCAAATTTATCACTGAGATAATTTTAAATTAAGGGGAAAATAGAACGAGAACCTAAGTCTTGCAATGATTCAAAGGAAAAACTGAATTATTCATGACATTGCCCCTAACCCTCCTAGGAAAAATAATACGCTAGCCGTAGCCTTGTTGCCATTTTGTGATTGGACGATTAACGACGTTCGGTTGTTCGCAGTTTAATAACTCCAATGTACGCGAGTACGACGTGCGTTTCATGTATTGTTTTTATATTGGCAAAATAAAAATGAATGAATGAAGTAAAGAAAGGGGTTGATTTATTTTAAAATTAAAACAATACTCAAAAAGAATCCATGGATAAAATTTTATACGCAAACGTGTATATGTATATAAAATTAATAAATTTAGATGCATAAAATAAGTGTTTTTTAGTTCTAAAGAAAGTATGTATGTGTATAGGCCTATATAAAATTAATAAATTTAGATGCATAAAAAAAAAATCTTAAGAAAGAAGTAATTCTTCCGTTCCCAACTGCTTTATGCACAAATGTCCAACGAATCATTGCGATGTTCTTTGGATAAGATCATGCCATTTCCATTTTACATCGAACTGTCAAGATTTTCACACGTATGGGTTTTGTGAAATGATAAAGTTATGGTGGCCCTGAAGGGACATCGCATATCGCAAACGTGTGCGCATACGTATGCGATGTCGCGAAATTTATCGCGAATGTGTGCGCACACGTATGCAATGTCGTGAAACAATTCGCGAATATGTGCGCACACGTATGCGAATTTGTTTGCAATGTCGTGAATTTTATTGCATACCTTGTCGCATACCTTTCAGTAAAATTCCTAATGAACTGGGGAGTTGTAGCAGCTAGTCTGGAATCTAGACGTACTGTTAGATATAAATAGGGTCTGACTAATAAACCTTCGCGCGCACGCTGTTCCTCGTGCAATCGTTACTACTAGTACTGTCGAGCGCAAACTTGCTACTTGCGCAACTTTGAAATTTGCGCGCGCAAGTTTCAAACTTGCGCGCGCAAATTTCAAAGTTGCGCAAGTAGCAAGTTTGCGCTCGACAGTACTAGTAGTAACGATTGCACGAGGAACAGCGTGCGCGCGAAGGTTTATTAGTCAGACCCTATTTATATCTAACAGTACGTCTAGATTCCAGACTAGCTGCTACAACTCCCCAGTTCATTAGGAATTTTACTGAAAGGTATGCGACAAGGTATGCAATAAAATTCACGACATTGCAAACAAATTCGCATACGTGTGCGCACATATTCGCGAATTGTTTCACGACATCGCATACGTGTGCGCACATATTCGCGATTAATTTCACGACATCGCATACGTGTGCGCATATATTCGCGATAAATTTCGCGACATCGCATACGTGTGCGCACATATTCGCGATAAATTTTGCGACATCGCATACGTGTGCGCACATATTCGCGATAAATTTTGCGACATCGCATACGTGTGCGCACATATTCGCGAATTGTTTCACGACATTGCATACGTGTGCGCACACATTCGCGATAAATTTCGCGACATCGCATACGTATGCGCACACGTTTGCGATATGCGA